TGCATTTTCAGTTTTAATTATCCCAACCTTCTTCTTGAAGGTGCTATCTACTTGGTGGATTTTGGGCACCAATTTCCATGAAAAGTCTAGAATGATGCATGATCAATCGGCATATACAATACGTTAGAGATGCATGGTAGCAAAAAAAAGGGAGGGAAACATCTAAAACGGAACAAAAAAAAATCTTTGTCAAGCAGATAGGTCATAATAACTCTACAGAGATAAAGGATAAGCAGTCATTCTCAATATTTAACTCAAATCACTCTGTAGTATTAAATAATAATGGATCCGAGCAGCTCCATCCTACTACAATACACAATATTTTAGCTTACACTTTGAAACGTAAAGTCAATGTATCACACTAAAGTCAAATTGCAGCTAGAAGAAGAGAAATCGAGTCCAATTTGATCAGTTTAAGACGCCACGCCTCTAAGAACCAAATTAAAAAAAAAAAGAAATAACATGTGATCTCATTTTTATGCCTTGAGTTATTTATTCACCTCACACACTCTTGATAATATTTTATTTCAACTCATGCACATCCATAGCTCCAGAAATACATTTATATCTCTAGAAGGACCTCATTTTAGAGAGCACTCCTTCATATTTTAGTGTGAACAGTTCATTGTTAACAAAATAAATTAGAACAATAAGTACAAAACTCTTTTAGCGAATAAATGTATGCTTTCAGATGTGTTCGGATAGTGATCTTAAACATGTGCTTAATGTCTATGATGACGATTAAGAAGATGCGGTACATGGGCATATATCTTAATCGATCTGAAAAGGGTGATCTATTCATTTACTTTATGTGACTGTCTAAGAACTTTAGTTTAATAAATCTTTTAGAATTAATAAAAAAGATTTATGGTCATGTATTTATAATTTTCTACTCTGAGAATCCTTAAGCATCCTACCACATGGAATTTAGTGGATCCTGCTACTATTTCAAGCTTTAATCATCCTCAATAGCGTTATTAGAATCATGTAAATTATCCAACTCATTTGTCACCATATCAATTTAGACCAAATTTCATCATTTTCAAAATCATATGAAAACGTGAAGATAGTCTGAAGAAGAGAAAGTATGAGTACCTTGTGATAGGATCTTTATGGAGGAAGTAGATAAAGGTGCGTAAAGGTTAAGGTTCCACAACAACTCGAGAATCGGGTTAGGGCGAGATAGAGGTGGTGACTCTCCACACCATGGGTGATATGTAGGCATTGACTCAGGTAGCATTAAACAATGACAAAATTGTAAAAAGGAAATATGATAATGAGGATATAAAAGAAAATAATATTGCGTTTTCCAATGAAACAAAAAGATAGTGCCAGTAAACCAAAAAATAAATTGATATTCAGATACATAGAAATAATTAAGGTGTTTTATATATCATTATCTGAGGAGACACTAATCTTCTGTAAATACTTTGATGGACCCTTAGTTTGCTGACAATTTCCAGAGATATTTCTCTTATAACTACTCTCAACCCTATTATTGGAAATTTGGAACAAAGCACCTTATCAAGAAGGAAAACAGCCGGTCTTTTACATGGATCCCGGGGAAATTCCCTTGGATTAAACATATATAATATATCAGAAGTAGAATAATGTCTTCTCCTCCATGGGGTGAATGTCCTTTGCAAAGGCAAGAGGTCTGGAAGAAGTAAATTGCCTTTATACCTGAACCGCATATCCCCAAGAAACTGAAACTGTAAGCAAGTTTGAGTTATCATAACAAATAATTTGTTGGAAAACCATTCCTGGATCTGCATCTATTGCTTCAAATAGATGCTTTAAACCTTCCAAGCGGTTCTTTCCAGGGTATAATGGATCCACGGTATCTAAATGATGAAGTGAAACTGGAGGTGCTAATGGATGTGCATTTAACATTCCAAACAGATCCCCGCGAAGGTCAACCTGATAAATGAAAAGTAAAGGCCTCACTTCACAAGCTTACAAATGAAATCTTAACTTCCATATAGAATTGTTTATCAATATAGCATGTAATATAATATGCAAAACTCAAATAACTCAAATATCCATATAGAATTGTATAACTTATTTGCTAGATAAAAACATGAGTCTCAATTTTAAAGCGAAAAAAAGATAAAAAAAGAAGACGCAAATCCTGTTAAATATTGAAAAGCTATGTTCAAATCTCAATTCAAATCTAACTCAAATACCTGTCATGGTTTGTTCCTATTTAGGAATAGGTAAAATTCTTGCCACCACTCGCTCATGTCGCCACTCAATCACCAGTCTAGAAGATGGCATATCCACTGCCATCAGACTCTCTGACAATGTCAACTGTAAAATGAGCATTCTCCATGCACGGCATCCTCCTGAAAGTCCTGCTTAAATAAGAAGCAAGAAGTTCTATGCTGCAAATAAGTAGAACATCAAGATAGATCCGCTTCTCCATCTAGAACTTGTTAACATTAACTGTTCAAATGATTATAAAACCACCTTTACTCTTTCCGCTAAAAAAAAAAAAGGAACATAAATCAAAATAAAGTAAAATGTTTTCAAGATGAAAAAAAAATGCAAGATCAAAAGCTTTACTTTGATTTCAGGGGAAGGTAACTTCCATTTTGATCTGCATTAGAATACATACAATTTAGTAAAGCAAACCAATATGTCACAATTAAATGTGATAGCTAATTTGCTATTTGTTCTTCACACTCAGAGGGTAAAAGAAAATAGAGAAAGCTAGCACGTCATAAGCATAATTTAAATGTGAAGAAGAATGAACAACCTTCATCTCATGTAACAGGAAAGCGCCAGTTTATTTATGCACCAGCATTGTATATTAGAGTATTTTGTCAAGACATGATTACCTTCTGTCTCTTATAATTGTTGTAGCTGTAAAGGAAACTATCTTCGTTGCCGGACAGAGGTGGCGATGGCGGTGGCGGAGCAGAGGAGGCGGAGGATGCCATTGAAGATGAAGGAGGAGTTGATCTTGCTCTTGATTGCTTCTCGGATTTGGCTGTAATCAACAAAATAAGTAAACCCTTAAAAGTTTGAAGGATGCCATTGAAGATGAAGGAGGATGCCATTGAATCTTTTTCTGAAGATTGAGAGAGGAAGAGAGAATCGTAGGTTGTAAAAAGGGAAAAAAACAACAAATATTCTGCAAATGCATCAATCTACAATGTCTGCAAATATAATTAGTTTTGGGTAATTTTAATCTATGCAAATGCATCAATCTACAAATATAATTAGTTTTGGGTAATCTTTATGTCTGCAAATGCATCAATCTACAGTGCTTCAATCAATCACCCCCAAAATAAATCCAATATTCTGACTTTTTTTTAAATACTAAATAATTAAGAGAAAATTCATCTTCAACTCAAAAAATTTGATCGCATAGAAACTAATTCAACGTCAGACCCTGAAAAACAACAAACTTAAAAAGCTAAAGAACAATATGGTAAAAAGAAAAAAACAACAACTCACCTCCATCCCACAGAGTATCATCAGGCTTGCAAATCAAAACCCAAAGTTCATCAGAAAACCCTAAAAATCTAAAATCAAACCAAGGATTCGACATCAAATGTAAAATTATCCAAAGATCACGACGTTCCACAACATGATGTTGTTATCCTGCGGGGCTCCACTAATTCCCACCGGCGGATCATTCTGCAACCTCTTGAAATCCCTCATCAGTCTTTTCCTCACTGGCGTCGACATCGATTCAAGCCTAAACGATTGAAGTATGCCCCGCCCATCATTCCGATGTTCGTCGCCTAAAAAATTTCGATGTTCTGATTAAATGAGGGAGCAGGGGAGAGAGAGAGAGAACGTGGGGGCGGTATGAGGTGTGGATGGGGTGGTTTTGGTTCTGAAACGTGGGGAGTTTGGACGGTTGCGGTTAATTAACTCAACAATGGATAGTTACGGGGAATTGAGGAGACACTAATCTTCTGTAAATACTTTGATGGACCCTTAGTTTGCTGACAATTTCCAGAGATATTTCTCTTATAACTACTCTCAACCCTATTATTGGAAATTTGGAACAAAGCACCTTATCAAGAAGGAAAACAGCCGGTCTTTTACATGGATCCCGGGGAAATTCCCTTGGATTAAACATATATAATATATCAGAAGTAGAATAATGTCTTCTCCTCCATGGGGTGAATGTCCTTTGCAAAGGCAAGAGGTCTGGAAGAAGTAAATTGCCTTTATACCTGAACCGCATATCCCCAAGAAACTGAAACTGTAAGCAAGTTTGAGTTATCATAACAAATAATTTGTTGGAAAACCATTCCTGGATCTGCATCTATTGCTTCAAATAGATGCTTTAAACCTTCCAAGCGGTTCTTTCCAGGGTATAATGGATCCACGGTATCTAAATGATGAAGTGAAACTGGAGGTGCTAATGGATGTGCATTTAACATTCCAAACAGATCCCCGCGAAGGTCAACCTGATAAATGAAAAGTAAAGGCCTCACTTCACAAGCTTACAAATGAAATCTTAACTTCCATATAGAATTGTTTATCAATATAGCATGTAATATAATATGCAAAACTCAAATAACTCAAATATCCATATAGAATTGTATAACTTATTCGCTAGATAAAAACATGAGTCTCAATTTTAAAGCGAAAAAAGATAAAAAAAGAAGACGCAAATCTTGTTAAATATTGAAAAGCTATGTTCAAATCTCAATTCAAATCTAACTCAAATACCTGTCATGGTTTGTTCCTATTTAGGAATAGGTAAAATTCTTGCCACCACTCGCTCATGTCGCCACTCAATCACCAGTCTAGAAGATGGCATATCCACTGCCATCAGACTCTCTGACAATGTCAACTGTAAAATGAGCATTCTCCATGCACGGCATCCTCCTGAAAGTCCTGCTTAAATAAGAAGCAATAAGTTCTATGCTACAAATAAGTAGAACATCAAGATAGATCCGCTTCTCCATCTAGAACTTGTTAACATTAACTGTTCAAATGATTATAAAACCACCTTTACTCTTTCCGCTGCTTCTCCATCTAGAACTTGTTAACATTAACTGTTCAAATGATTATAAAACCACCTTTACTCTTTCCGCTGAAAAGAAAAGGAACATAAATCAGAATAAAGTAAAATGTTTTCAAGATGAAAAAAAAAATGCAAGATCAAAAGCTTTACTTTGATTTCAGGGGAAGGTAACTTCCATTTTGATCTGCATTAGAATACATACAATTTAGTAAAGCAAACCAATATGTCACAATTAAATGTGATAGCTAATTTGCTATTTGTTCTTCACACTCAGAGGGTAAAAGAAAATAGAGAAAGCTAGCACGTCATAAGCATAATTTAAATGTGAAGAAGAATGAACAACCTTCATCTCATGTAACAGGAAAGCGCCAGTTTATTTATGCACCAGTATTGTATATTAGAGTATTTTGTCAAGACGTGATTACCTTCTGTCTCTTATAATTGTTGTAGCTGTAAAGGAAACTATCTTCGCTGCCGGACAGAGGTGGCGATGGCGGTGGCGGAGCAGAGGAGGCGGAGGATGCCATTGAAGATGAAGGAGGAGTTGATCTTGCTCTTGATTGCTTCTCGGATTTGGCTGTAATCAACAAAATAAGTAAACCCTTAAAAGTTTGAAGGATGCCATTGAAGATGAAGGAGGATGCCATTGAATCTTTTTCTGAAGATTGAGAGAGGAAGAGAGAATCGTAGGTTGTAAAAAGGGAAAAAAACAACAAATATTCTGCAAATGCATCAATCTACAATGTCTGCAAATATAATTAGTTTTGGGTAATTTTAATCTATGCAAATGCATCAATCTACAAATATAATTAGTTTTGGGTAATCTTTATGTCTGCAAATGCATCAATCTACAGTGCTTCAATCAATCACCCCCAAAATAAATCCAATATTCTGACTTTTTTTTAAATACTAACTAATTAAGAGAAAATTCATCTTCAACTCAAAAAATTTGATCGCATAGAAACTAATTCAACGTCAGACCCTGAAAAACAACAAACTTAAAAAGCTAAAGAACAATATGGTAAAAAGAAAAAAACAACAACTCACCTCCATCCCACAGAGTATCATCAGGCTTGCAAATCAAAACCCAAAGTTCATCAGAAAACCCTAAAAATCTAAAATCAAACCAAGGATTCGACATCAAATGTAAAATTATCCAAAGATCACGGCGTTCCACAACATGATGTTGTTATCCTGCGGGGTTCCACTAATCCCACCGGCGGATCATTCTGCAACCTCTTGAAATCCCTCATCAGTCTTTTCCTCACTGGCGTCGACATCGATTCAAGCCTAAACGATTGAAGTATGCCCCGCCCATCATTCCGATGTTCGTCGCCTAAAAAATTTCGATGTTCTGATTAAATGAGGGAGCAGGAGTGGGGGGGTGAAGAGGAAGAGAGAGAGAGAGAGAGAGGGAGGGAGAGAGAGAACGTGGGGGCGGTATGAGGTGTGGATGGGGTGGTTTCATCATTCCGATGTTCGTCGCCTAAAAAATTTCGATGTTCTGATTAAATGAGGGAGCAGGAGTGGGGGGGGTGAAGAGGAAGAGAGAGAGAGAGAGAGGGAGGGAGAGAGAGAACGTGGGGGCGGTATGAGGTGTGGATGGGGTGGTTTTGGTTCTGAAACGTGGGGAGTTTGGACGGTTGCGGTTAATTAACTCAACAATGGATAGTTACGGGGAATTGAGGAGAAAATAGGTGGAAAATTAGAAAACTTACTGTTCATTTTAGCTTTTATGTTGTTCTCCTTTAGTAATAAAGAAGTAGATTTCTTAGGGGCTCTTTGGTTTGTGGGTTAATATTGATGGATGTAGTGGACTTTGAAAAACCCATAATTAAAATCGTGTTTTGTTTGTGATGGATACCAAATAGGATTTGCACGAGGGATAATATTCAGTTATATTTTGGTTGGTTGTACATGATTTTGTTGAGGATATATAACTAAATCCACAAATCCGGTTGAAATTAGCATATTTTTAGGGAATTATTCTTGATGCATTTATCCTATGCGGCAATCCCAAATCTGTGTATTTAGTAATTTATTGTTTAAATAATAAATAAACACTATATTTGCTAAAAAAAGACCATGATTTTTAACTTATGGGTCCCATTTTTTAATGCAATGATGCAAAATACATAGAAACAAACAGTCCCTTAATGTACTCGGATGTATTTTGTAAATTATTCTATATTCTTTTAGTATATGCCAAAGTCATAATAGACAGACTCTTGGATAGCTCGAGCAGCTTTCTGTATCCATGATTTTCCACTGTTTCTGGAAACTGGAAATTAGGAGCACAGAGCATTGGTTTGTATGGTCAGGTGCTCTGGCTGGATGCTTGAATGATTGTAGAGTAACAGGTTTGGCCATAATCTTAGCTAGATATCTGTCATCTCCTGATGTTCCTTTTCCTTTCTGGACTTGCAGATAAGCCTCTTCTGATAACGAGGTTGACATCTAGTGCAAAACTATCTATTGGCACCTTAGCATAATTTGTGATGCATAAGAAGGAAAACAACATAAAGAATGATAATGAGTGAAAGGAGAGAAAGGGAATTTTATTATTAGTTGACTGTAAATCTCAACGGAATGCATTGGCTTTCGAGTTTATAGCGAGGGCGTGTATATACTGTTATATCTATAAGGTATCATGAAACTGAATCCACACAAGTAGGCAACATGTGTTAGTTTGAGTGTGGATCCAAACCTTGAAGCAGGCGAGTTTGGGGCAGATGTGAGCTGCAGGCGAGCTCGACGAGGTTAGGCGAGGTCGAGCAGGCGAGGAGCTCCAGCGAGCGTAGGCGAGGCGACCCCCTTTGTAGGCGAAATCGAGGATGCAGCGCAGGCGAGTTCGAGTTGGCGCAGGCGAGCTCGAGCGCGAGAGGATCTGCCAGGTGAACTAGTGCAGGCGATTCCAAGCAGGCGAGCTCGTGACAGGCGAGCTCGAGCGCTGCTGGCAAACTTCCCAGGCTGTCGACAGCCTGTCGACAGCTCAGCTAGGGTTTCCCTATAAAAAGGGAAACCCCAAGGCACGAGATTGTTGTCTTTTTCTCGCGATCTTTTGGCGGCGCCTCTTCCTTCTTCCAGAGCCGATTTTCTCCTCTGCGCGCTCTCTCTCTCTCTCTGTCTCTTTCTCCAGCTCTTAACTCTCAACAGTGATTTGAGGGGGATTTTTAAGAGGAAATAAAAGAGAAAGAATATTGTGGGGGAATATTCTCTATTTAAGAGAGAATTAAATAGGGGTATTTGAGAGAGAGAGATTAATACTGTAGCTACAGTATTAATTAGTATTTATTGAGAGATCTCAAGTTTGAGATCTGCTCTTGCTTTGTATTTATTGAGAGATCTTAAGTGTGGCTCCCGAGGACGTAGGCAGTTGCCGAACCTCGTTAAATCTTGGTGTATTTTCTCTATACTGCGTTTCTGCTGTCGTAGGGGTTTCGGCGTAAATTCCCAACAACATTAAACCAAACCTGCAATTTGTAAGAAAGGAAGCACAATGCATCATTAATATAATCTCATCTAATTAAGCTCAAAGGAGAGGATGAATGCTCTGCTCATCCCACATTATGCTATAAGGATCAACTTTTCCCTTCACATAGGCCAATTTCTTGTAGTTATTCAGAAAGTACTTCTCTCCCCAAACGCTAGCGTCGGAGTAGTTTGTCGACGTCTCTTTATTCCAGCCCAAGTCCAAATCCTTGTAGTTGAGATAAGCAGCTCTAGGACTCTTAGAAACATAAGGGGTCATGAGTTCATAGAATTTCCTCATCCAATCCAAGTGCCTTTTAGCAACCTGCTCATCCTTCTCAGGCCATCTCATAAAATATTGTATGTTATACAAATTCCCTTTCCTATGGGGAAATGCAATATCACCTTCATCTATTTCATCCAACTTTCCACCCCAAGGATCCATTATCATCACCACTGGCTCATCCTTCCCTTCCATCATAAACCTCCATATCTCATTCCATCCTTTCTCCGATATTGGTTCCTTCACAAAATCCGATTTCCCCTTGTATGATCCCTCGAACTGTGGCTTCCTTGACTTCAAGATCTCCAGGGACGCGTTCTTGCCATATCCTGCAAAGTCAAGAACAGATTGTATCCAACTCATCTCTTCGCAATCCTCAGGCTTGACTCCTAGCTCAGGGAACTTCTCATCCATTATAGCTACAAGCTTGCTCGCACCACCGAGAAACAAGCACTGGAACGTGGCGTTAATTGTGCGCTTCTCGTTTGATTCCTTGTCATCCGCAGCCAATGCAATAATCCTAATGAAAGCATCGTCATCAAGCTTTGGCGCGACATGCTGCCATCTCTCCACGAGTCTGGCTGCTCCCTGCTCTAGAGTCTTGGTAATTGCAAAGGTGGTCACTATTGGAGGTACACTTACCAATCTAATCTGGAAAGCTGTGATGATGCCAAAGTTTGATCCTCCCCCTCTTATAGCCCAGAAATGATCTTCCCCCATATTGATTCTGCCAACGAGAGCACCATCAGGCCTAACCACCCTAACATCCTCAATGTTATCAGCAGAGACTCCATACTTCCTCATCAGTGCACCGATACCTCCACCGATGAAGTGTCCTCCAACACCAATCGTCGGGCAAATTCCAGCTGGAAAGGCAGTGGTGTTGCTCTTCTGAGCAATCTCATAGTAGAGCTCGCCAATGGTCGCGCCTGATTGGACCATTGCATTGCCTTTCTCTATGTCTATCACAATGCTACTGCTGTTCAAATCAATCAGAATGTAGGGGTTCGAGCTTTGTGAGATATAGGATAGGCCTTCATAGTCGTGGCCCCCGCTGCGTGCACGAATGTGAAAGCTAGCATTTCTGGCGCAAACAAAGGCGTTTGAAATTTGCTGCAAGCTCGTGGGTGTCATGATGAATGATGGCTTGTTCGAAGTGGAGTTGATGAAACGCAAGTTTTTTATGGGAGCTTTGAAGTATTCTTCGTATGAGGGGGTGCCAAGGGCGTGGAGTATAGTGAAGTTGAGCAGGGGGTCATGTATCAGATCTCCAAAGCAATCCACGAACCTTTGCTCTTGGGTTTTATCGAGGGGTTGTGTCGAGTGCGAAGGGCCAGAGAAGAACAGGAGAGAGAGGATGGTGAGGTTTGCTAAGGTTGTAATTGATAATGGTGGTTTTGGTGTTAACGCCATTTGCTTGATATCTCTCTTCTCGTTTGTTCTCTCGTTGGGGATGCATTACGCAGAATGAGGAGGTATTTATACTGTTCTATGTGGGGTTTGGCAACTTTGTTTTCCTTTTGAGAATTTTCCGTAATTGCACGTGTAAATCTCGGTTGATCTTGATTTAAGGGATTTGTTTTCGCTGCTCGTGTTTGGCATTAATTTGGTAACATCTTTTACGCATGAAAAAAAGTTCAATTGCAACGAAATTAACGTTTTATTCGGTGTTAATATGATCTATGCTAACGATATTCTACTATTAATAATTTGTTTTTTGAGAATGGGAAGGATGATTTATTTGAGTATCTTCCTTCCTTTTTTTTTTGCCTTAACTGTTATTTTTCCTTGCAGATTCAAAAAGGGGATATGGATCAATGATAAGGAGAGGTTGTCTCAGATTTCTTTATATTATAGAATATTTTTTTATATGGATCAATCAATTGACGAGTAGTTCAGTAGTTGGTAATTGAAATGAGTAGATGTGAATATGACATCTCACTACAAAGAATAAAATTTGTGTTTGGTACCAAGCATACCCATTTTTCTCATATATATATATATATATATATATATATATATATATATATAGTATTATGTGTGTCTATATATATATATAGATGCACATGCATTGCACGTGGTTAAATATCATGATTGTTTGATTTATTTCTTTTTAAATCTTTACTTTATGATGTAATATTGTCTGTGAACCTTCATAATACTTATGTTTATGTACCTTCAAGTTTCATTTTATATGTCGTTGTGATCATAAGCAGTGTAAGCAACAAATCTTTCGAAAAGGTTAGTCACTCATATAGCAACCACTTTCTTGAATGCCTCAAATCTAAGTAATGGATGACATAAAATTCTTATGAATTAAAAAGAAAATGAAAAATAATCTTCTATGTTGATCCCTATGACTATAAAATAAGAAAACCTATCAACATTTAAGAAAAAAACCTATTAACATTTAAGAAAACTCTCTCCATAAGCTTGCAAAGCTAACTACATTCAACTATTAGGTTGGTCAATTCTTATTATTTTGAAATTAATTCATCATAGCATTGAAATAGCTCTTGCATCTCCAATTCTTAAGTTAATTTGATTTTAGCTCCTCGAATCAAAAGTAAAACAAAAGCAATTAGAGGGAAATTAGTCCCTTGAATTGCTAATTACATCATTTATTTGAAGGATTAATTTCAAAATAACTTAAGAATTGAGTTACCTAATAATAATTTAAATGCTTTAACGAACTAATTTCAAAATATGAGATATGTAAGGGACTAATGCAAAAAACATTTCAATCAATCAATTGTTGTTAATAAATTCATTAATTCCATAATTTGGTATTAATTAATTGGTTAATATTTACACATGCAATGCATATTATGTCTACCATGTTATGTCCTCTAAGCTTCTTTTACTCTTTAGTTGTCAACCACTTCTAATTTGATTAATTTTTTATTAATTAGTTGTGAATGGAGAGAGCTTTAACTCGGAAGTTTAATTTTGACTTAATAGTTTTAGTTGATTACCAATTATAATTAGGATAAGAATATTAATATTGCAAAGGATTAGGAGTAAAACTCATCTAGAAAAGTTTTTTTCAGAACTCCCACTTTATATATATATATATCACTGTTATAAATAGCGGTAAATAGCCCCGTAATAGCGGCACTAATAGCGTTAGCGGTCCCTTCCCGCGACGCGCTATCGCCCGCTACGCTATCGTGCAATAGCGGTGACGTATTGCGAAATATGTCTGTTCGTAAAAGTGGTCAATAGTGTGTCATAACGGTAAATAGTGAATGATTGCATTCGAAATTTGCTTTTTGACTACTATTTAAAAGCGGTTTGAGGCTTATTTTTTTAAAATTAAACTCAACCTTTGACCATTGCATTCCACCGTCTCCTGTGATTTTCAGCATACTCCCGCCACCTCTCATAGCCTCTGGCACCTACATTGATACTTCCTCTCACCTCCTTCACTGTGAGTTCCTCTTAGGGCAGTACTGTCACCGCTAAGCTCTTCTTCTCGAAGACGATTTTTTAACTCCTCCAGTCATCTTCGGTATTACGTGATGGTTACATGTCTATTTCATGTTTAGGATCTCTTTAAATCATCAAATATGTACTTTTAGATTTGTTAGATTTTTCTTTAATTTTTCTTTTTTTAGTATTTATACATATCTAAATTAGACCACTATTTGACTTTGCGCTTTTTACCGTTATTTTGCCGCAATAGCCCGAAATAGCCTTAGCGACGCCTCACCGCTACGCGACGCTATCCGCTATCGATAACCTTGATATATATATAGAAAACAGGAGGTGAGCTGGTAGCGTAGGAAATTTCCTACGCTGTTGCCACGTGTCAAGTTGTTATTCGTTGGACACTTATTTATAGAAGTAACAGATTTTCGAGAGAGGAAATTTATAGAAAACGAGGGTCCTAGATGCAAAAATCACAAACCTCTCCTGATTAATATCTCCCTTTCCTAATTACTCCACAAAATACGCTGCCCTCCTTCCCTAACCAATCCCGCTACCCTCCTTCCCCAAGGGGTGGCGCCCTCCATCCCCAAGCGCCGGGAAAAACACCCGTTGACAAAGTCTTGGGGGTGGGAAGCACGTTTCCTTAGCTTTTAGGGGCTGGAAGCATTTTTCCCTTGTAATATACATGTGTCAAAGTATATAATATCGTTTACATACCGATTGTAATATGTAATTCTGAAATGGAAGTTACGGAGACATTTATGTCGTCCAATGTGTAGCTCCTAAAACTTTTATTATTATTATTATTATTTATTATTTATCTGGTTTTAAGCGCTAAAATTTCCGCAGGTGTTGAATTTTGCTTCATAATTGCTGAGTCTGTGTAACGTAAACAATGGAGGAAAGGAGGTTGGCGATGTCCATGGATGTGGAGTTAAAAGAGTTTTCCCCCCTTCTCAACGCACCACTAGAAAGTCAAATTCAATTTTTTCACTGTTAGTATAGCGAGATTGAAATTGGGAACTTTAACTATTTTAGAACTTTTAACTATTTTCAGTCTCAGGTTTAATTGAGCTGGGTAAACTATAGAACATCTCCATGAGTTTCGCATAGTTTGCAGAAAATCTTCCTAAGTTTGTTACAATTCTATCCCCCTCTCTAAGTTTGTTACAAATTTTATAAGATCGACGGAGATCAGTGGCTTATTTGGGATACGAAGATGAAGGAGGACCGCCGACGCTTGGGGAAGGAGGTGCCGCTGGCGCTTGGGGAAGGAGGGCGTCGACGCTTTGGGGAAGGAGTGCCTCTGGAGCTTGGGGAAGGAGGTGCCGCCGGCGCTTGG